GTACTAGGTCAGCTAAGGGATTTTGTTATTGTAATTAAATGAGAACTGACTCTCCACTGACATTCCTCACTCCTAGAATTCTGTGGATCTCATTTTGCCAATTTTGTTGCCTAAGGTTTTATCAGCATAATACAGAATTATTCTCTTACACTTTCTGTGTGAATTGCAACGATCAAAGCCTTTGGAACAAAGATCACGGGAGCTTAAATGAGAGTGCTAATTCAGATGCTCTGCTCTCTGAAAAAGTTGCTACTACAAATCTGACTCTGGACTCAAAACCAGTTTGGTGACCCTTCCACCTGGTAACTTCAAGTACATTTAAATCAGGAAGATTATGCATCGGCAGGAATGTATTTAAAGGTTGCTGGTATAACTTTAATGTTTTACTGTAGTTAGCCACTCTGGAGTGTGATATATTTAGATGTCAAAGATCCTAACAAAGTAGGCTATCATGTAAATAGTCATAGTAGAGTAGAAGTTTGGACTACATCAAATAACAGACAGAAAAGCTGGGCTCCACCCTTTGAAAAGCCCCCATCCCTTTGAAAGCTCTGGCTTCATCCTAATGCCTCTAGCAGGTGCACACCTGTACTTCCAGCATTTGAGACATAGACGCTTGAAGATTGTCATCTTGAGGCCAGACTTGGCTCCATAGCATAACACTGTATTCATTAAAATAGACAGTTTTGTTCATTTTTTTCTCTTTACAAATTTTGGTTTATCAGCCGATAAAATAATTTCTCTAATTCAACTGAATCACCAAAATTTCATTGCAGAATTGGATGATGTGAACAGGACTAAAAGATGAGAAAGCTGACTTGAACCATAACTTCCTGACATATGATGGAGAAGAGAAAAACTACAAGTCTCACTTGGAGACTTGGTATGAAAACCATTATCCTTTCTCCTTTCTCTGGGATCTTCAGTTCCAATGCCAGAAAAGGCTTTCTTTCACTAATATGTTTAAATTCTTTTTTTCTCTTACACCTTGAGCTGAACTGGACAGCAAATGAGCGAACATAAAATGCTAGGATTGTTTTGCCAAAGACATAAGTAAATAAGATGGATATTGATCTGTCTAGATTTCTGATTAGACTTCATCTCACTTATCACTCATTTTGCTTAGTTTATTTTGTTTCACTAGCAGTAAGTGTATATTTACTTTCCAGAGAGGGCTTCCATCTAAGGAGAAAGCAAAGCATTGAAATAGTTTCCTGAATATTTTTTTTCTCTTCATTCACATTAATTTTTATGGAGGTGGTAATTAGTAAGTTACTGACTTAACCAAAATATCCTCCCAGTAATCAAAAGTTCACATTTTGCAATTACTACCAAGTTCTTCAGCAACAAATGGTGCCAAACATTTGGAGCTATGAAATATGTGTCGTTTAATGAAATTAAAACCCTAGCTTGCCAGCATATTATATATGATGACTCACTGCTTGAAGGAAGTGTTTTATTTTCCTTTTTTTAAAACTAGGAATAAATAAACACTGGTGTGGAATAAATCTCAGTTTCCAATTTCAAATTCAGTTGTTTGCAATATTGTACCTAAGGGGGCAAAACAAATGAGATAAATGAATTTGTATATACATTCCATGATTTTCCAGTGGTATTATAATTAAGACTATAAAACATTGCCCTTAGCAAACAGCTATTGTGGGAATTCTTTCACACAGCCTAATGCACTGCAAACACATTTTGTTTTTCTTGATTTCCTCTGACAACAATTGTAACTGTCTGCTGAGAGAAGGCACAATGCAATTTTTACATAGAATTGTTTACAAGAAAGACAAATGCTATCAGGATTAACTCACCCTGATCTACTTCAGGGATAAAAGACCTTTATGGATTCAATAATAAAATTTCTTTCATAAAGTAGGGTAGATACATGCCTGTTTTTTGCATGAAACCACTGAAGCCCTGATGATCATTGTGTCAGGGTCTCAGAATATCATCAATCATACTGAGAATTGCAAAAATTTTAAGAGACGTGGGTGCAGCTAGTTGAACCGCTATGTTGTCTGTTTCTATGTCAATCACTGGAGCTTGTAGCTCATGGGACTTTATTTACATCCTCTTTCTCTGAGAGACAGACTCTTTCCAGCATTATTAACCCATACCTGACCCTGTGCATGGTAGCAGATCCCAACTTTCCAAGATTCATCTATTTATTCCTTATTCAAGCTGTTGTCCTTCCCCCTTCTTTTGGCTGTTCATTCCTGTGACTTCTCTTCTTTACTGACACTCATTCTTTTGGTAATTTCATCCAAACTTTTGGCCAGAAATTGCACATCTCTGTGTTTATGATGATCAAATTCAAGTCATCAACCACAACTCTCCTGCTGATCTAGGTGTACATATATCTATCATTCTAATTTTAATGTGTTTAGAAGTGAACTACAAAAGTGTTTACTTCAACTGAGTATTTGTATGATGACAAAGGATAGATTTCTAGGATCATATATGCTTTTTTATTTTCCTTTCACAACCCAGATGCAATCTATCCAATAATCAACAGTAGAGAAGTGAGACAGCCATGTTTGTTAGAAATGTTACTTACGGAGTCTGGGCTGAAACTGATACCAGACAGAGGACACCAAAAGTCATTCATGATTTTCCAGCCAGTGTGGGATATACTTAAATAAACTATATGAACAATATGTGAGGAGATGACTGAGTCATTTCTTCACTTCTCTATGGTATAATCACTCTAGTAAATGACTAAATCTCCTCTGGGAACATAGTCTAGAATTTATCTCAAGTAACTTCTGCTGATCTGACTCTGTAAACTAGTCAATAAACTCATTTACTACCTATGGCAAATGTGTAAGGGATACAGTGTGACAGTTAGTGATAACTTCTCCTTTCCAAACATGTATTTTGTTGTGTTTATTTTTTCTTTTGTAAAAATCGTTTCATGATCAATGCTTTGGTCAATCACCACAGGCTGCATTAGTACAACATATTCTGCTTGTGTGTGTGTGTGTGTGTGTGTGTGTGTGTGTGTGTAGGCGACAGCTATTTACTATGTAGCTCAAGCTGACCTGATACTGGACATGGTTCCATCTCATTGCTTAGATTACAGGAATGCACCACCACTATCATCTTTTCTAATTGTACAGTGGTCTTGTTGCTCATTATGTTAATTATGACTTATGAGACCTTGATGACTGGGTCTTGTCACCTGGTTTTTACCCTTCTGGGATCTCATTATTTCCACAGACAGTAACCGATGCTGTGGTTGCAGTTTCTGCTATCAACCAAGCTTACAAATGATGAGTATTTCTGCAGATTTTTATAAATGCAGGAGTTCCCAACACTGGTGAATTCTTCGTTGACTAAATGCTGTTAATGTTTTTTGATTCTTTTTTAAAAGTAACTTCTGTAAACCTGTTCTCACCTTCCTGAACCCATGATTCTTCTGGCTCTTTGTTCAACACCGTGTCACCATGTATTTCTAGCAACTCAATATGCAAAGAGGGACTGACAGACAAAAAACGAACTTTACAACTTTGGTGGAGGTGGGGGGATGGGGGAGGAAGGGAGACAGGAAAGGATGGGAAGGGGAACAAAGGAGGAGGCAACAATGCTTGATAAGAAATGTACTCATTGCCTTGCCCATGTAATTGCAACCCCTCTGTATGGTATTTTCACAATTAAAACAAAAAGGGGAACTGACAGAATAATTCAAATGACAGAAAAATTGTCTAGCAAGTTGTAAAGCTTTATGTTCAAACCCCACTTCTGCCAAAATAAGAAAGAAAGTAAAAGGAGAGAAAAAGTCATATTATAATGAATTTTGAACCAGTCTTTGTAGCTAATACCTGTAATCTACCTACTCAGGAGGCTGAAATCTGAGGATCATGGTTTGAAGCCAGCCCAAGCAGGAAAGTCCATGAAATTCTCATCTTCAGTTAACCACCAGAAAATTGGAAGTGGAGCTGTGGCTCAAAGTTGTAGAGTGCTAGCCTTGAACAAAAAAAAAAAAGTTCAGGGACAGTTCCCAGATCCTGAGTTCAAGTTTATGATGAACAAAAAAAAAAGTTATCAGATATGAATGTAGTCAGGAGGAGCAAGACAAAAAGGCTCATCTCCAATTAATAAAGGCAGCCACGTGAATATTGATTCTCTTGTTTTCAGATGAATTTGTAGTAAATGCTTTTCGTGAATGGCTTATCCCATGGGTCAGAGAAGTTGCTGAAGAAAAAGGAAGTCACATATTTCTTTGCCTTGAAGCAAAGGGCTGTGAGATATTATGGGTCTTTTCACCACCACAGTGATATAGAAGTAAGAAGCAGCCTGGGAGATCTTGAATTGGTACACTAGAGGTTCATTTCTGCATGTTTCCATCTACGCATCTGAGAAAATACAGAAGTAGAGAAAGTAAATAAGTAAATAACTTGCCCCAAATTACAGAGATATTAGCATGACAAACTATCAGTTTAACTCTTTAATATAGATTTATCTAACAATTACATTGCTGTCTATTATAAGTAGGTGAATGTTGCAATTATTTTCTCATCAGTGAATGAACTTATTGATCTGAGAGTGACAAATTTGTATGCTTTTATAATCAGTCTTTTTGTATTTTTTTGTTTTGTTAAATTTTATTGTCAAAGTGACGTACAGAGAGGTTACAGTTACATGTGTAAGGTAGTTGACATTTCTGGTCAAACCTCTTACCCCTTCCCTCATTTTTCTCCCACTCCCCTCTCCCATTCTTCTCTCCCCTGCCCCTGCCAAGTTGTACAGTTCATTTCCAATGTGTTGTGTGGAGAGTATCACTGTTGGTTTGGTCCCACTTTGTCCTTTGTCTCACCAGTTTGTAGTTCCCCTTCCCTCCCCTAATTTAAAGAAACATATATGCAACAGGCAGCGTGCCAAAATCAAATAGAGTGACAACAGGCGACAGTCTGTCTTGTCAATAGCAAAACTTTTGTCCTCAGCCTGTCCTTTCAATGTCTAGTCAATTGACAACGGTGAAGGCTACTGGTGACACCTATGTCCTTAATGACTTCAGTTTATCCATTTCACACATAGTACACATTTTATTGTATTAATTTTCAAAATTTGCAGTGTGTTTATCAGGAAAAGAAAAAGTACAGTAGACACAAGCACTACATTAGACAAAATTCCAAGCTAGTATCTGTTTAATAGCCCCTTGTTCATATTTTATGATCGTTATCACTAGGGCAAGGATGTCAGTGTTCATACTCATGTTTTAGTGGCACTTAGATGTTGCTGTCTCCAAGATGCCTGGTAGAACTGTAAGTATGTTGAGTTTGCCTTTGGCTTCTTTCAACTTGTGATTTGGTCTTCTGTTTCTCATATGCACCCCTTTCCAGTAAACTGTATTTATTTCTTGTCTAGACACCCTCTTCAGGCATCTATAGACTTCTTTGGTAGAACCTAAGTTGTTATCAAGTACGAACAACACTCTTCAAAGAACTTGAAATGGATTTGAGAATAAACATGGCCTGTTGTCCCTCATTGGAATGCAGTGGCCAGGGATTTCTATCTCCACTTTTATCAGAGTACGTGAGTCAACTTGGAAGAAGATGATCTGGAAAAAGTGATTCAGCAACTGCTGTGGAGATCCCTGAAGGACACCAGCTGAAAATGAGTATTTTTAGCAGCTAGTAGAGCAAGTTTATCCTTTGAAGACAATCCCTAACAACAGCTGAATATCCATATTCCCAATGAAAACCTTAGAGGTTGTCAAAACATATTATTGAGGAGGGAAGATCAGGTATAGATATTTGTAAAATAATACACATCACTTCTAATGGAAGAGTTTAGAAGTAAAAGAATTACAGAAAAAATAATACGTTGACTTTATTTGAAAAAGAGTAAGGTATATATCCAATTAAGAATAAATTTTGGATCATATTCCTAATACATAGCATTAATACTTTTTAAATTATAAACTGTTGTTCAAAAGCAATGAAGAAATTTAGTGAATTAGATTTTAAGAAATTATATAACTATTACATAACAAAGTGTAGTCTCTTGGCTGGCAGTATCATGGGCACCTGATAATTTATTGGGAAGACAATTTTGTGTCCTTTCTCAGACTTGCTTTTAATAATAAATTTTGGTAGGAGACCAGAATTTAGCAAGCTCCTTAAATTTTAAATTTTGAGGATTATTAGCGTGTAATAATTGGCATATGATAAAAGAACATTTCATTCTAGTACTAAATGTGAAATTGATAAGGACATAGAAAAAATTTTAAAAAGCAAGTAAAAACTTACTTGATTTTATCTGGTAAATTCAAGAGTGCTCTGCAATGGAAGACTTTATCAAACTTTTTCTTGAAATTTCAGGTAGGAAACTTTTGAAAACCTTATTTTTATTTTTAATTGGCATGTACTAGGTGTGCATGTTTATAGGATGCATTGTGACCTTTCAATAGATGTGTTGAGTGTGCAATGATCAAATCAAGGTAGTTGTCAAGTCTATCAACTTGGATGTGTATTATTTTCTTTTAATGAAGTTTATTCATAACCCTTTTAGTTATTTTGAAATGATCAATTAATTGTCATTAACCATTGATATCTGCTATGCTATGGAGAGCATTCAGTCATTCATGTTATTTCAGTTAAAGGCCTATACTCATTCACCATGCTTCTTCTTTTCTTCTTTGTGAAACTATCTCACTCTTTTTTTTCTCACTCTCTATTTCTCTTTCACATAAAGTACATTTGTCATATATAAGTATGGCTATTTCTGTTGAACTTATTTTTAGTGGTACCAATGTTTAAGCTCAAGACCTTGCATATCCTTTCAAAACATTGAACTATATACCTCCTCACCCTTGCCTTAAGGCCTTTCATTCTTGGATAGATTTTGAGATAAAGACATTGTTTTTGCTTGAGCTGATTTGTACTGGGGTGTTTCAATTAACATTTCCAGTATAGTTGAGATGACAGGTGTGAACCACCATGATCAAAATACTTAAAAAAATTTTTATTGTGAAAATACCATACAGAGGGATTACAATTCCATGTGCAAGGTAATGAGTACATTTCTTATCAAGCATTGCTGCCTCCTCCTTTGTTTCCTCTTCCCATCCCTTCCCATGCCCCCCACCACTGCCCAGCCAAAGTTGTAAAGTACATTTTTCTTTTTTTTAAATTTTTTTTATTGTGAAAATACCATACAGAGGGGTTACAATTACATGGGCAAGATAATGAATACATTTTCTTATCAAGCATTGTAGTCTCCTCCTTTGTTTCCCCTTCCCATCCCTTCCCATCCTCCCCCTGCTCCCCACCTCAATCTTTCCCTCTACCCCTTACCTCCTCCCCCTCCCACCAAAGTTGTAAAGTTCATTTTTCGACATAACGTCTTGTACATCTCATTGGTGCAATGGTCCACTTTTATCCCTATTTAAGCAATTTGTTTTTTCCCTTCCCCTTCACAAAGTATATCAACATCAAATACAGTGAAAACAGGTGTTATACCATGGGGGAGGGACATACAAAGCAACAAAGAAATCATCCTATAAATATGTTAGAAACAATTGCAAGAAAGAAAAAAATATTTGAATCCTTATCTTGGGGTTCATTTCACCTAACATCAACTTATCTGACCGTTTCTACTTGTCTCAGACATATACTAGTTATTGCAAATAAGGAAAATCATGGGACCTATGTTTCTTTAGACCTGGCTTACTTCACTTAATATAATTTTTCCAGGTTTTTCAATTTCCTAACAAATGGGGCAATGTCATTCTTTCTGATGGAGGCATAGAATTCCATTGTGTACATATACCACATTTTCTTGGTCCATTCATCTACTGAGGAGCATCTGGGTTGGTTCCATATCTTAGCTATGGTAAATAATGCTGCAATAAACATAGTTGTGCTGGTAGCTTTAGTATGATCTTGCTTGTGACCATTTGGGTAAATGCCCAAAAGTGGGATTTCTGGGTCATAGGGGAGCTCTATGTGGAGTCTTTTGAGGAACCTCCATACTACTTTCCAAAGTCTACATTCCCACCAACAATGCAGTAAGGTTCCCTTTGTCCACATCCCCTCCAGCATCTGTTGTTATTAGAGTTCTTGATTTTAGCCATTCTAACTGGGGTGAGGTGGTATCTCAATGTTGTTTTGATTTGCATTTCTTTTATGGCTAGGGATGTTGAACATTTCTTCATGTGTCTATTGCGATCCTTCTTTCCTCTTCATCTTTTTCTTTAAGTCTTTAGCCCTACTAACTTTTTGCTTGAATTTGTTTTTGAAACTATAATCCTCCCCATTTGTACCTTCTCAGTTAGATGTGTTTACAGGCATGAGTTGTCATTGTGTTTGGTTTGGCTTGCTTTTGATTTCTATTTAAATAGTGAATTATATGTCCTTGGGTCTTATTTTTCCATTGGCTCATTGTTTTTCTATTGTTCCATTGTTTTTCTATTTTCTACATTAAATCTTATTGATAAAGACATAGTTCTGAATTTTGGGGGGTTGTTTCTCCCTCTATTATATATTTTCTCTCCACTGTTCATTTTTGGGGTTTGGTAGTTTTCTAAATTAATAGCTTTTGATTCTCTTCTCTTTCTCTTTGGTGTTTCTTCTCTTTTACTAAGTTTTATATTCTTTTGCATTATAGTGGTGATATTTACAACCCTTTTGCTCCTAGAGTACAATTCCCTTAACTATTTTTATGGGGCCAATCTGGTATGGATTATTTTCTTCAGTTTTTTCTCATCTATTTGTTTTCCAATTTTAAAGGTTAGCCCCTATGGAGATAGTATTTTTACAGAATTTTTCTTGCTGTCATGAGTTTTGAAAGTACCATCCTGTTTTCTCCTGACCACTTGAAGATCTGCATTGTCCTCTATCTTAAATGCATTGATATTTAAAATTTTTTTCTCTTTTGCATATTCTTCTGAGAGTTTGAATAAAATGCACTTCAAACAAGGTATCTCTTGTTAAATCAAGTAAAGGTCATTTGAGCTTTCTAGATTGAGAATATCCTCATTTTCCTAAGAGTTGGAAAGTTTTCCCAATTATTTTTAAGGTAAAATTTGCATAGCTCTTTTATTTCTTCTGTGTAATAACCCTAATATAAGTGTTTATTCACTTGATTTGATACTATAAATCCCTAAGATTTACTTCATTCTTTTTTTTTCTTTTTTTCTTTTTTGGTTGATCGTGGGCCTTGAACTCTGGGCCTGAGCCCTGTCCCTAAGGTCTTCAACTCAATGCTAGCGCTCTACCCCTTGAGCTACAGCGCTACTTCTGGTTTTCTGGTGGTTTATTGGAGATAAGAGTTTCATGTACTTTCCTGCCCTGGCTGGTTTTGAACAGTGATCCTCAGATCTCAGCATTCTGAGTAGCTAGGATGACAGACGCCCGGCTTACTTCATTCTTTTTTCTCTTTGTCTTCTTCCCCCTCCTTTCCCTTCTCTCTCTTTTTTTCCCTTATTTGACTGAATGGTTTCCAATGATATAACTTCAAGCTCAGAATTTTTTTCTTTTCCACAATCTACCCTGCTACTAAGAACGGTTAACATTTATCTTGCTATCACTCTAAACTCAAAACAGAGGTTTATTCTACATTTTAGTCTCTGTTGCAAGCATTTAACATTAAATGTTATAACACTGAGGAGAATTATTTTTGATGGTAGTTTTGTTTTGATTTATACATTAGTTCTAGGAGGTAAGGAGAGGACAAATTTTAAAAGAATAACGTTACAAACAAAAGCATACCTCAGTTTATAATTTTTAAAGCTTTCTTATCATTTTCTTTATGTTTTAAGCCCAGATAAGTTTGTGTTTGTGTTCATTCTTTTAAAGCCTCTTTTTAGTGGGTTTTAAATCAGCAATTGTTTTTCTTTTCTTTTGTGTCCAACATTTTTTTGTAGCTGTGGAAATATTACAAAAATGGTGTATCTTAGTTATGTTTGTAATCTTTACTGCTGAGAATAATGCACTTAATATTTTTTTGAATTGAATTAATTTGACTGTAAGTTGATGAAATTATAAGCACTATTATTTAAATA